CTGCTTCTCCCTCTGATCCTCCCCCTCTCATGCTCTCTGTCTCCCATTCTCTCTCTCAGATAAATAAATAAAAAATCTTTAAAATAAAATAAAAGTGACTTAAGTCAATGAGTAGATAAAGCACAGACAGCTTAGAGGTGACTGAGTACCATTCTAATTCCAAAGTGGTGGCCCCCATTCCCATGCCTATTCCCACGGGCACTGGGGAGAGCACCACCTCCTGGTCCACTCCTTTGCATACCTGACAGAATCATACTGAAAAGATGGTCATTAAAAAAAGAAAAGAAAAGATGGTCATTGGCCAGGGACCTCTCTCCCTGGCCACAGCTCTCTACATAGAGCACAGCAAACTCTGGAGGCATTTACAGGAGACGTGTGATACTTTGTAATGTAACATCCTGGAACATAAGGTGGTTTTATAATGTAACATTAACTCTGAGGACTTTAAAATCTATCAGAGAGTTTCCTAAGCCTGATATGAAGTACACATTTATTCTGCAACTTTGGCATCTGTATTACATTCACCTACTTGTAAGTAATGTGACAAGAATGATGTATCCAGATGAGTTTGTTGAACCTCTGGTGGCCACTGGAACACAGCTGGAGCCCCACATGAAAACTCTGATCTGCTTCTTGCACAGGGACGCGACGGAAATATCTGTATTTGTAGTCAAGTGGCTTCTGTAAAAGAAAAGGTGTGTGAGCTATCATGAAACCTCCCCTCACTGATACATATAAATATTACAGGAATCTATTATGCAAGAGTGACACGAAAAGTAACAATCTCTGCACACAGTAGAGGGGTCTTGGGTATCAAATGAGAAGGTGGATAAGTGCCCTGAAAAATGTTAAGCATTCCAAAACTGTTTTCTCTCCATCATCAGCTCAGTTAATCAACACAATCACCCCCAGTGTTAAATATGATTGTACATTGCTGTTTAACGGCTGAAAGAATGAAGACTCCAGGAGGTCAAACAAGTTAACCAAAATTACACAGCAGCTGCAGAGCTGGAAATGAAAACTTCTGTCTTCTCCATGTAAGCCTAGTATTTCCTTCCACTGAAAATATGGGAATTTTTACAGAGGCAAAGTGATAAATTGGTGAAAGATGCAGAAGAAGCATGGAGTAGAATTTATCTTTTGCGGTAACAGTAAAAGAGTCAATGAAGAAACAGATGTGGACAAGGTTCATTAGAATCACACTTCTGCAAATACTGTTGCTAACAACACAAGAATGTCAACACTATGCATGGTTTCACTGTATCATATTCTGAAGAGAAAATTGGTACTCAACACAGGAGTTCCTAAACTCTTTTATAAGGTAAGACCTAAACAAGGGCCCATAACTCCCTAATTCTGACCTCAGGAAACTCATGGCCAAGGCCACAGCCATCGCAGCTACCTCTGCCCTTCAGACGGCTGCCCCAGAGCCCTGGAGCCTACCTGAGGCAGGCAGAGAAGCCGGCAACCGGTGGCCACAAGGTGAAGGGACACCGATGAAACCCTGCCCTAACTAACACATGATGCCAGGGAAGACAGGAGGATCTGATAGAAGGAAAACTTCTAAAAACTATTAATTATAAAAGCATTAGGCAAGTATTTATTCCAACTACATCACAACTGACTCTTTGGGTATCCATTTTTAAAACCAGGATTGAAAAACGCATACAAAGGAAAGTTATGAAAAAAATTAGGCCCTCAGTGTGTTAAGAGTTAAAAATACTGGAATGCAATAATTCAACAATATTTGCTTGGCATTTTTTTCCCTTTTGTAAGAACAGGAAGAAGGAAATTATCTTACTTTTTAGCTTATTTCCAGTAGAAATTGAAATTCTCTGTAAGAACACCCTTGAGAAAAAAATTATCTATATGAGCTAACTTAGGAAGGAAATCCCTTATGATTCAAAACAGGAATAGCTAAAAAAACATATTCAGGTATAATTTCACTAGTTATTTCATAGCACATTTTGGCTTTACATTTTCTAATGTGAAAGACCTGGACCAGAAAAGGAAATCATTTAGAGAAAAACAAGCTGATCCAATTAAAAAAACCCCCACATTTTAGAAAACCCTCTCTCTTCAGGGAGATGCTATAAGTCAACGTACATTTTGTGTAACAGTATATTTTATGAAACAGTATTTTCTTACCCTTTCTAATCAAGAATGCTTAAATGAGTAGGGTACTGAAATAAACAGAGAACCTTTAATTCCACTCACTCACCTCTTCTTTTTTCTTAGTTATCACAGCAAATACTTTGGTCTGATTGTCTGTATCTTGTGACAAGCGATAATGACCCA